AGAGAATTCAGAGACATTAGCCAAGAACTAAGAATGACATGAAATTTTGAAGGCTGATTATAGTTAGTGAGAGTTTCCGTTTTTGAGGTCTAACAAGATAGAGAAAAGAGAAGGTGAAGACCAAGGCTCACGCTATTTTAAGTGATGCCCTAAAGAGCCTTACCATTCACGTTATGGTGAGCTATAACCAAACACATCCTTCTCCTGTCCACTCAAGGGACATCAAGAAAAATTGCCTTTGATGTATTTCCCCCCTCTGCTGGGAGACAGGGAAAACAACAACAACAAAAACAAAAAACAAACAAACAAAAACTTACTTTTGAAAATTGCAACAAGTTTGCCTTACATTAGTTTTTGGTTTTATTTATTTTTTCTTTTTATACATTTTTTTTTAGGAGCTTTTGCTATACGGCACGTGCTCTCGCCGGAAAGACAGAAAGAGACAGAGAGACAGAAAGCAAGAAATCACCCCCCAGGGGGATGGCCATACCACAATCCCTTCTCCATTCTCCTCTCAGGATCTTGGGCATGCACACACATGCACCGGTGTGAGTTTAAGCCACTGGATCTGGGACTCGAACTGTGGTCAACTACATGGGAGTCCAGGGACATAGCTTTTACACTAACTACTGGTCCCCCTTACATTAGTTTCAAGCCAAATTCAGTCTACCTTTAGAATATGAAGGACCTTAAACTCAAGATTTAGTTTACAGTGATTTCAAGTTGGTAATACCCTTAGTTTACTGGCAGAACAAATGGAATCTCTGTAGAAACCTGCCTTTCAAACTGATCCTCAAAGAATGTACTCAGATGAAATTCTAAGGAGTTGGAAACCATAACTGAATAAAATTCCTAACAGGTGCAAGAAAATGAGGCACATGAACAATCCCCCCAAAAGCATCAGCTATTGGTACCATTGACCAAATTATAAATTGTGTCTTACATGTTTTTAAAAATTAAGTGCTAGGTTTCAAAAATATAAATGAGAAGAAAAAGATCCCAGGTATTTATAAAGCATTAGAGCTTTCAGAAAATAAAATTATAATTATTAGAATTAGAATCTCAACAGAAATGCTCAATAGCGTTTCCATAAAGATGAAGAATTAATGAACAGAAACACAGATCTAGAAATATCTCTAATACAGGACAGAATGACAGTCAAAAACTGTGAAAGAGAAGTGACTCATCAAAGACAAAATATGAACTTCAGAGTTCCAAAATGGGAAGTGAGTCAGAATGGGAAACAGGTTGTCTTTGACGACATCATGACTGAGAATTTTCCATAATTATCTTATTTTTTTTTATAAATTTAAGTTTATTCACTTATTTCTTTCATGAGTAAGAGAAACAAAGAAAAACAGTCAGCACGCACAACATGGTCTTCAAATAGTGACCTACTCCAGGCTTCAGCGAACCCTAGATTATGGACACATATGTGCCCAATAGACTTAAGGAGGTCTCCAGACACAAATTCAGAACCTTTCCATGTGGGTCAGCGTCACAGAACACTATATTTTATTGCTGGCTCCTATAAATGACCTTCTTATCCAGGAGGCCTATGAGTCCAAAACAGAATAAATATATGGAAATCCATACCTAGACTCATCATGATGAAAACACACAACACCAAAGGCAAGAAAAAAAATGGAAAAGTAGCCAGAAAGAAAAGACAGTACACCTAAAATGAAATAAAAATTAGATTATGAGAGGACTTCTCGAAAACAACAGAGGGCAGCATATTATGGAATTGTATCTTCAATACGCTAAGAAATGAATTCTTCCAATCCAGAAAATGGGATGTCCTTACACTTTTTTGTATCATTTTATTTCTTTTTTAAAATATTTTTTAGTTTTGTTTGTAGAGATCTTTGACTTCTTTGGTTATATTTTTCCCTAGATATCATACTTTTTGTGTTATGGTAAATGGGATTACTTTCTTCAGTTCTACCTCAGTCTGTTTGTTGTTAGTATATAGAAATTTTATAGATTTTTGTATGTTGATTTTGTAACCTGAGCTTTACTGTATCCATTTATTACTTCTAGGAGTTTTACATGGATACCTTTGAATCTTCTATGTATACAGTCATGTCATCTGCAAAGAGAGATAATTTCACCTCCTCTTCCCCTATTTGAATGCCTTTTATTTTATTCTCTTTTCTAATTACATTGGCTAAGACTTCTAGCACTTCTGTATTGAAAAGGAGTGGAGACAGTGGGCTGCCTTGGACTAGTTTTTAGTGGAAAAGCTTTCAGATTTTCTTCATTTGGTATGGTGTTAACTATGGGTTTTTCATAGATGGCTTTTGATGTGTTGAGAAATGACCCTTCTATGCCAATTTTGCTTAAAGTTTTACTCATGAAGGGATGTTGTATTTTATCTAATGCTTTTTCTGCATCAATTAATATGATCATACAGTTTTTCTCTTTCTGTTAATATGGTATACTACATTTATGGTTTTGCATATATTGAACCACCTTTATATCCCTGGAATAAGGCTTACCTGGTTCATGATGTATGATCTTATTTATATGTTGTTGGACATGATTTACTAATATCCTGTTGAGAATTTATGCATCCATAGTCGTCAGAGATATTGGATGGTAATTTTCCTTTTTTGTCATATCCTTATCTGTTTTGGGGATGAGGGTGATGGAGGCTTCATAAAATTAATTTAGGAGGGTTTCTTCCTTTTAGATCTTCATATATAATTTGAGTAGAAGGGAGGTTAGCTCTTCTTTATATATAGAAATGCTAAAATTTTTGTATGTTCCTTTTGTATCCTGCTACTTTACTATATTCATTTATAAGTTCTTGGAGGCTTTTTCCCTCAGATTCTTTTGGATTTTTTGTGTATATGCTCATATCATCTGCAAATAGAGATAATTTCAATTCCTCTTTCC